TCGCACAAGCAGCCCTCCCCCTGCCTGGCCCCCCGATGTCACCCATGCAGCCCACCCCCTACGGGGCACCCCAAAATCACCCATGCAGCCCACCCCCTACGGGGCACCCCAATGTCACCAAAACAGCACCCCCCTTACCATGGCACCCCAATATCACCTGAGCGGCCCTCCACTTACAGAGCACCCTGACGTTGCCCAAGCAACCATTCTCCTATGGGGCTTCCTGACTCCAAACAACTACAGGGAGCCCCAACATCACAGCTCTCACAGATACTCCCCTACTCCTAGAGGGCCCCAATATCAGAGACAGTCCCCTCCCCCTACAGAACTCTGCAGTGTCCCGGGTCACCCCCAGCGGTCTCACCTTGATAGTGTCCAGAGGGTGTCCGGCAAACACAAGACACACCCCGCCGAACCCTCCGGCGAAGAAGTTCTTCAGCGGGCTGATGACCTGCGGCTTGTCGGACATGGTGGGGCGGAGAGGGGTCTCTGTGCCGGGTACTGACAGCCGCTGACACCGGGCAAGGTTTACCCCGCCGACCTTTGCCCCACTTACGGCTCTACCACGAGCTGGCCTATCACCGCACGGGCTGCAGACATGACACCCAACCAATCACCGTTTCCGCCCTACACTCCCGAGTGATTGCTAAATCCACCTATCGCCATCCTGATCGCCACTAAACCCCGCCTTCTTAGAGTAAAACTTTAGTATTTCTGATCACTAGAGAAAAAGGCTAATTTATTCTCCGTGTCTCGCACTGAGCGGACATTTTTGTGAAGGCTGCAAGTTTGGATACTACGGCCATGAGTTCGAGCTCTACTGGCCACATGGTGTGGACTTGTGTACTGATTTGCCATTTTTGAAGCTGCCAAACGTTCCTTCCAAACTGATGAAATTTATGCTTTGCATTTGAGTTTTATCATGTGACCCAAAGCTAAGCCAAAGACCACATGACCTCTGGCTAGAAAGTGCATGACAAAGCCCATCTGGTAGGGTTGTAGTGAGAAAAGAGGGTCAGCTTGGCACAAGTAGGGAGTTGAGCCTGCATATGTAGGCTCAGCTTAGGGTTGCCACCTTTTCTTCAAGCGAAACCCGAACACTCTAGCGATGAGCGGACATTTGTTTGGGGAGAATGAGTCATGGCTTATTCATATGTAACTAGCACCACCCAGTCATATGTAAATATCACAGTTGAGACTGTTTTCAGTGGGGGGCCAGTAGCCTCTATCTTAATTTTGCTTGCCCCTGTCTGCCTGACATCTTGTGTCTGGGTTTCTGCTGCCATGAAACCCGAACCCTGGACTGTCCGGGTGAATCCTGGACAGGTGGCAACCCTAGCTCAGCTACTCCTGCTCCCCCTCCCGTCAGTGATTCAGGAGCTCAGCTCCCCATTCCAGCAGTGACTCAGTAAGCTGAGCTCCTGAATCACTGGCGTGAGCGGGAGCAGGAGGAGCTGGGCTTCTGAATAACTGCTTGAAGGGGCCCTGATCTGTTCAGCCACTGCTAGGAGAGGTTGCTGAGCTGCTTAACCACTGCTGGAAGCAGGAGGAGCTGAGCAGCTGAAAAGGGAAGCTGATCTGTTAAGTCACTGCTAGGAGGTGGAGCAGAAGGAGCTAGGCTTTTTAGAAAGTGCATTGACAACTTCAGTGCATCTGCTGTGAAATTTGAGGATCAATGGCTCCATTGGTCTGCAACGCAGATACAGGTGCGATGTTCATTATTCAATTTATCTGTGTGCTCCCCTACAGCGAGGATCCATTAATCTCAGCAAACCGCATCTTTGTAAACAGACCATTATGAGCTGAGAATTGTGATTGGTGCGCCTCGCTCTGCCTTATTACATATGCTTGTTAGTGTATTCCTTCACCTCACATTGCCCTTCTGTGGTGGAGATGACGGTGACGTTCTAGAAGTGAATTAGAGGGTTTCCATAGTAATTAGGAGCAGAAGTTGGTGTCAGGATCTCGCCGTTGCTTGGATACGTTTGTCAGAAACAAACAGGAGTTCATCGCGTGTTTTCACAGCTGCTGCTTATAATTTCCTCACAATCCAAATCCTCGAGATGAAGCCTTCCAATAACAAGGTGATGAGGGCCGAATCTGAATGAAGAGCCACACTGTGACTCGCCCCGCCGACCGCCGGCTCTGACAGTGTGCATTGTGATGAACCGTTTAATAGCCATTTCCCCATTCTCCAAGCTTCACTTCACTAGCTGGCCCTGTGGTTTCCTTTCTTCCCTCTCTCCCTCCTTTCTTCCCTCCTAGCTTCCTTTTTCCTTTCTGCCTTCCTGTCGTTCATTGCTTTCTTTCTTTTGTTCCTTTCTCTCCTTTTCTTTTCTTTCCTTCCTTCCTACTTCTTCAACTTTCTTCCTCCCTTTTCTTTTCTTCCTTCCCTGTTTAATTTATCTTTTCTTTTCACCCCCCTTCCTTCCCTTGTTTTTGCTCCTTTCCTCCATCCATATCTTCCTCTCCCTTACTTCTTTCATGTTCTTTCTCTCCGTCTTTCCTTCCTTCCCTCCCTCCTTTTTCCACTCTCTTTCTTCCTTCCTTTTTTTCCCTTCCCGCTTGTCTCTCTCTATTCCCCCCCCCCTACTCCTTTTTCACTTCCTAATTTTCTTCTCTTCTCCCTCATTTTCTTTTTTCTTTTCTTAATTTCTCCTACTATTGTCTTTCTTTCTTTGTTTCCCTGTTGTCCCTTCCTCCCTTGTTTTTGCTCTCTTCCTCCTTCTCTTCCTACTCTTCCTTTCTTATTTCTTTCCTTATCTCCCTCCCTCCTTTTTCCACTTCCTTCCTTCTTTTTCCTTTCTTTCTGCCCATTCACTTCCCTCCCTTTTCATCCCTTCCTCTCTCCCTTTCTTTCTTTCTTTCTTTCTTTCTTTCTTTCTTTCTTTCTTTCTTTCTTTCTTTCTTTCTTTCTCCTCTGTCTCACTCATCTCTCCCTCATTACCTTTTTCACTTCCTATTTTTCTTCTCAATCTTCTCTTCTTCCTAATTTTCTTCTTTTTCTTCCTCCATTTCTTCTTTCCCTCCTGTCTCCCTTCACTTCCTTTCTGCCTACCCCCTTCTTTTCTTCCCTCCTTATTTCTCACTCCCTTTCTTCCATCCCTCCTTCCTTCTCTCCTTCCCTACATTCTTTGTGTACAGCCTCTGGGATTATATAACAGGCTCTTCCAGGTGCTGTACACAGTTGTTGACTTCAGATGACTGTAAAATCTGTATAATATCGTATTACTAATCAGCCTCATCTCTGTACTTTGCCCCTCAGCTCTTCATTGCCAAGCCAGGATGGGGCACAGAGAGCATTTGGGTGGAGCAGTAGACAGAATGTCCTGCTGTGTCCGTCTTCATCTTCAACATCCTAATAAATCTGTCACAGAGCAAAATCCTTATACAAAAGATACAAAAGTTAGTTCAGGGTCAGTAATGTCTTTTGAAGCGAACCTGCAAACATCCATAGATCTGGACAGAGGCAGCATCCTTCTGAAGTTTCTCACACAGACAATCCGCTTTTTGACCAATGCCATGTCTTACTTTTTTTTTTTTAAGTCAATTATTTTGCTAGAAAGTGCAAGTGTTTATTGTTTTATAACCATGTACCATATGTAGGCACCAGGTGGAGCCATTGCCAGTCTGGTAAAGCTGTCAACAATATTATAAAACCTGTTACGTTCAGATGGACTCAGGCTGATAAATGGTATTAAAGTGGAAACATTGGAAACATGTGAGCAGGCTGGCACTTTACTGCAGGAGAGACATGCTATGCAGGAGGGATGTAAGAGTGAAGGAAGGAATGTAAGGAAGAACCAAGGGAAGGAAGGAATGGGGGAGAAAAGGCAAAAGGCAAAAAGGAAGAAAAAGGGTAAGGAAGGGGGGGAAGAGAGGAAGTAAAGTAGGAAAGGAAGAGAGGGGGGATTAGGGGAAGGAAGGGGGAGAGAAGGAAACTAGAAATGGTGAAAGGAAGAAAAAAGGGAAGGATGGGGGAGGAGAAGGAAGAGAGGACGTAAGGAAGGAAGGAAGGGGAGAAAATGAAGAGATGAAGTAAACTAGGAAAGGAAGAGAGGAAGGGTTGGGGGGAGGAAACAAGAAATGGTGAGAGAAAGAAAAAAAGGGAAGGAAGGAAGAAGGGGGAGAAAGAAGAGAGGCAGTAAAGTAAGAAAGGAAGAGAGAAAGGATTAAGGGAAGGACTGGGGTAGAGAAGGAAAAGAGAAAGTAAAGTAGGAAAGGAGGAGACGAGGGATTGAGGGAAGGAAGGGGAAGAGAGGAAGTAAAGAAGGAAGAATTGAAGGAATAGAGGAGGGAAGATAAAAGAAAGGAAGGGAAGAAATGAAGAGAGGAGGGAAGCAGAGAGGGAATGAAGGAAGTAAAGAGTTAGAGTGTATAGCAGTCCACACATGAATATATCACCCAATATTAGGGGAAATCAGCTGGAGCAGCATCTGTCATCTCATGATTATGGGACTGCTATACCCTCTTGTACTTCCTGGTAAACAGTTAAGATCACCCCCAGACATATCCTACAGCACATTGGGTGGCCTCAGCAACCTCCTTATTGCGCTGTGAGATGTGTTGGGGTCGTTTTGCCATCATTTTGGAAACCAAGAAGTTGCATCATGGAAAAGCCCCAGGATGTGGAATATTGTGAAATGACGGACACCGATCAGCACCCGTGTGATATGATGTGGTAGGGTTACTATGAATTGTAAATAAACAATTGACATTTTTATTTCCCTTCTTTCCTTACAATAAGCACATACTTTCTGTGGATATTGCATTGTCTCTGGTTAGGCAGTCCTATGTTACCCTGGGCTGGGCACAGTCGTGTAGCTGCCTTGCTCACATGGATTACGAGCTTGTGGCCCAGCTTTGGGTTACTGGGGCGAGTGACAGGCTTATCATCGTCTGGCAGATCAGATTAGGACAGCAGCTCTTCTCATACGGTGTTATATAGTGGAGTAAAATCACACAGACTCGCGGACGTGAATACCAGATACAACTCTGGCATGGAGGAAGAGTATGATGTCATTGTGCTGGGGACGGGGCTCAAGGTAGGAAAATTGCATTGCTTCTTCTATTCCCATTAGATCTGTAATCATCTTGTCAAGTCAGGGCAACAACCCACAGCAACCAATCAGAAATCTGTCTTCCCTGATCCCTGTGCATTGCTGCACTGTCCAGTGCATTGTGGCTGGAGGTGTGATTGAGATACATTCAAATGAGTGGCAACGCAACACACGCCCCGCACTAAAATGCACGGTAGGTTAACGCACGGCACTGGTGTGAATGGGCCCTTAGGGTCTGCTGACATTAGGATGTTCGTATATTTGGAAGGCTCTCTAATTTAGTATTTTAGTTTTTTATCGGGTTCATCAGCAGAAGTTTACATGAACCCAATAAGGGCCTATTTGTAAATTATTTCACACAAGATTCACACAACTTTCACCCAGGAGTGAAACGTTTCTCTACATGAACCCAATTGGAAAAAACAAGTGTGAGGTTTGTGTAAAAACATTGATAAATTGCCCCATATTATTTCAGTCATACAGGAAATAAAGTACAGTATGTACTACTTTTAAAAATCCCTTTTATGTAGTGAGCGCTGCTTTCCGTCTGCCCATCACTTCCAACAACTTCCTGGATTCCCAGTCTGCTTTGCGTCTCTTTCCCTGCTGCTTGATGTGATGCAATCGGCATTTCTCAACACCACATATCCCATCATGCATTGCTTCCAGCAAGCAATGATGATGTTACATTGTTCAGACGCCGAGTTGTAGTTCAGAAGGCAGGCTCTGTGAGAGTGGGGACACAAGGAATTGGATATTCACAGGGCTGAGTGAAATTGTGTCAGTGTACTGAGGAAGTGCATGCTATGGGCATCTTCATTAGGTTTACAAACTTCTAGACGGATCTGGTTATTAGGAGTGGGATAGAACTTATAGAAACACAGATTTATTTTTATTTTTGACCATACATTCCCTTTAATATCTGGTGTTTTCACAACTGGTTCAGTAACCTTGAGAAGCCAGGTGTCCAATTTTTTATAGGAGGTTTTGGCACGATGGAAGTGATGCACTTTTAAAATACAGACGTTGGCATCAGCGGGGGCCCTTTTGCCTGCTATGTAATGGCGGCTCATACAACACCTGCACACGGTCTGTGTTTGCTGACATCACGGGCAGATGAGAGAAGCTAAGAAATGTAAGCTCTTAGGAGGATTTGGGACACTGTCACCAGCCAGTGGCTTATATATCTATCTAGTGTGTTGTGAAACAGGGATTAGCCTTATTTCCTTCATAATAACAACAAAAGCAGCACTGAGTAACTGCCGGGGGTACACAGGGGGCAACTGCTCTGGGAACAGTAGGGCAGGGGGCCCAGCCATGTCTGCTGCATACCCTTATTTCACCATTAATACCTTTCTTTCCCTGCAGTCTTATCTGCTGTCAGATGTACAGCTAGCAGGTATTCCAGGCAGCAAGGTTCTTTTTCAAACTGACTTGCAGTCAGTTTTCTTTAAAAGATTGCAATAAAAAACAAATAAAACAGAAAATAAATCCTTGTCGTTCAGGCTCTAACTAAACATACAGGTTTCCTCTTGGTGAGCTTCTCTCAGCCACCTCACAAAACCAAAGTATTTCCAGCAACCTTTTACTCACAAACATATCCAAATTGCATCTCTCTCTTCTCTCCCCCTCCTTTCCCCCCATAAAACCCTTGCCTGGATTCAGCTAGTCCTGTATACATATGAAAGAAATTGAGGGGAAATATAGCGCCCCTCAACGATTTCCCCTTTCCTTATGTCACAATATATATATCTATTTAATTTAACTTGTGACATTTCTCTTCCACCAATTCCTCACAGACACAATTCAGCATTATCACACAGAGCTCTGAATAGCTTTATTTCCAAGAAAACATGACAATGTAATGCCGCTGTCAAGACTCTACCCATATAAGGAATGGATGTTGACAGCTCATCACCCCGGGCCACTCTGCTGCATATAGAGGGCATCTGTCAGCTTCGCCATTTTTGGAGACTCGGGCAGCATTTATGACAGGCGATAGGCCCCAAAGCATTGTCATTTATTATGGTTTTAGCTGAGTGTCTTTTATCAAAAGTGAGCAAATTCTGTGCGCATTATCAGTGCCAGGCTCTGGGAAATCGCACTCCTAGTGAAACAAAGCATTTGTTTACAACATGGCTGCCTCATGACAAAACAGATGTACGTGTGACAGGAACTGGAAGTGGCCCGAGGTGGCAGGACAGTTGCAACAAAGTATAGTTTCTTGTCTTCTGTACACAATGTGTAATTCCCAGGATCAGTTCATATGTATCTATGTGGATGCTGCACAGTAGCTCTTCCCTTCTTTTGTATGCAGGGGCTTATTCTCATTATATTATGTCAAGATGGACATACCATTGTAACACTTATCTTGTGTCCCGTGCACATTGGTGAGTCCCCATTTTCTTGTGCACATTGGTGAGTCCCCTTCTTACTGTGCACATTATTCTGTAAATAATATAATGTGACTCCCCACTAGTAAATAAGGTGCAAGAATAAAAAATAATGTGATTAACAGCCTGTGATCATGGGCTTTGGGTTTGTGTTGATAGGTGAATACAGCTTGCTTTCAGGTACATTCTGCTCTCATTTGAGATTAAGTTGGTACTGTTCTGAGATCATTTGGAATTCACTGACCAACACATTTGATCTGCAATTGACTTGCTTCTGACCTGCTTCAAAGCTGCATCAAATGACTTCAACCTGCTTATGCATTCCCATTGACTCATATGAGGAGAGAAGCAGACCTGAAAAAAAAGCCCGGTGACACTGGACCTAATTATGCCGGGGCCCCAAATCTCCTGGGCACAAGACACTTGCACCCCTTGCGCCCCTAATAGTCACATCCTAGCTTTTAATATTAGTTTCCTGACTTGGAACCGATGATTTAGCTTGAAGCTTTCCTCGGAAAAAGATTTTATGATAGGTGAATAATAATTCTGTGAAAGATTTTCTATAGTACAAAACACATGGAAGCTAATAATAGATTGAATGACGTCAGTGGATGACCCTGATTCATTTCTCTACAAAAATATTCCAAATATCAGTACATGTGACCGGTATTTGATGTGTTGAGAATTATTTTTGGGGAAAAAGAGAGAGAGAAAGAGAGAGAGAGAGAGAGAGAAAGAAAGGGAGGGAAGTGAATGGGCAGAAAGAAAGTAAAGAGAGACAAGAAGGAAGAAAGAAATTGGAAAAAGGAGGGGGGGGGGGGGAAGGAAGAAGAAAGAGGGATATAAATAGATAGGGGGAAGGTGATGAACAATATATATAAAGAGAGGGAAAGTGAAACATAAAAAGGGAGAGAGAAGGCAAGAGTGGTGTCCAGTTTCATATTTCGCTCTATGCGGGTATCCAGGTCTAAACTTTCCACAGTACTGCCACACAGCACAACCCTCTTCGGCAGAGGAGAAGACCTGATTTTTTGTTTCTGCTCCAGTTAAGTAACACTTACTGGGCTTGTTCTCGCTCAGCATGTGACTGGATAGTGAACAGAGAGGCAACAGACTTATCAGCTCATTTCTCCGTCACTCTTATCTCTCCTCCTATCCGTATGCTTGCACTGCAGCACCTTGTTCTGCTTCTCCCTCCCCCTCTCGGAGCTCTGCTGTACAAGGCTTCTACCAAGTCAAATTCAGGTACTTACATTGCTTACATTTAACTGCATGTCAATGAATACAGAGCTGCATTCCTTTGTGTCTTTTATATGCACCTGGAGTTCAGCTTTAACACCTTAAACAAGTTAGTAACTGTATTCCTTTCTTTAGGAATGTGTGCTGTCTGGAATCATGTCTGTGAACGGTAAAAGAGTTTTGCACATAGACCGTAACAATTATTATGGGGGAGAAACTGCGTCAGTCACACCCCTGGAAGAGGTAGGTTCTTCATTATCATCCTTACCCTAAGGAAACAGGTGGTTATGGATAACAGAATAGTATCTATCTATCTATCTATCTATCTATCTATCTATCTATCTATCTATCTATCTATCTATCTATCTATCTATCAGTCTCTTTGTCTGTCTATTATTATATCTATCCTTTTCTATCTATTTTTTTCATTATCCCTCTGATAGAAGTCATTGATACAATCTCCTCTCCTCCTCAGCTTTACCGAAGATTTGATATGATTGGTCCTCCAGAACCAATGGGAAGAGGAAGAGAGTGGAACGTAGATCTGGTCCCCAAGTTTCTTATGGCCAATGGTAAGGAAATACGGTATGTTGCAGAATGGGGTGAACTCTGCTGCATGACCTTCAAGACATCTTCTGGGGTCACTGATCACATTAGAAGGAACTTTTCAGGACAGTAATATATTATGTGCACTACCATTTTTGAGGGAATGTGAGGGTCAGAGGTTACCTGTCCTGCCATCCTTTGTGGCACATACCATTGGTGGTGGTGGCGGGGTTGGTCAGGAACTGGTGGATAATTCTTGATTGTTTTACCTCTATGCGTGTGGCCTTTCTTCTGCTCCTGTTAGGACAGCTGGTGAAGATACTTTTATACACCGAAGTGACCCGATATATTGATTTTAAAGTGGTCGACGGAAGTTATGTGTACAAATCTGGGCGCATCCACAAGGTGCCCTGCACGGAAGAAGAAGCGCTAGTCTCGAGTGAGTGGACATCTCCAGAAAAGTGTGACATCTCCTTTATTTGCCTTGTAATTTTTTTTTTACCACATTGGCTACTATATTTTGTAGGGATGCACCGATACTTTTCGAGCACCAATGCCGATACTTGCCATTTTCATGAGAACTACCAGGGTTGCAGCGGTTGCAGCTGGTACCTGGCTCTGGCGCTCCACCACTGTCCTGAAATCTTTAGTCGATACTGTTTTAGAAAAACTGTCACATGACAATAAACAAACATGTATCAGTACTCGTACTAGGCAGATTTTGGCAACCCTGCCTGTTTTTTGAGTTGTCATTGATCTCTGCCTCTTTGTTTGCATCTAGACTTAATGGGCATGTTTGAAAAGAGACGTTTCCGCAAGTTCCTATCTTTTGTGGTCAACTTTAACGAACACGACGTCAAGACCCACCAAGATATTGATCCCAGGAGGATGACTATGCGAGAAGTGTACCGGAAATTCCATCTCGGTCCAGACGTCATGTCATTCACCGGTCACGCTCTGGCCTTGTACAGAAACGATGAGTAAGTACATTTCATTTTAACAAGGGTGATGTGAAAGAATGAGTGAAAAGCTGTTTCAGACATCCCAACTCTCCCGGACGCTCCAGGAGTCTCCCGCTATTAGATATCGGCTCTCGGTCGCCCGGGAGAAAAACACTTCCTCCCGGAAAGGTTTAATATGCTCGATCGAGCAGATAAACCTTTCCTGCAATCTTTTTTTTTTTTTTCTTTTCTGACATCGGGAGCCGCGGCCCGACCGTCAATCAGAAAAGGAAAAACAAAGGCATACGTATGCATAGCTAGATTCCTATTGGCTATTGCACTTTGCAATAGCCAATAGCAAACTAGGTAATGCACCCGCCCACTGCTGCTGTCAATCAGCAGTAGGGGACCTGAATTTTCCTATCGGGTCCTCTTCTAGTGAATGAAAGCAGCAGAGGGCAGGTGCATTAGCTAGTTTTCTATTGGCTATTGCAAAGTGAAATAGCCAAAAGGGATCTAGCTATGCATTTTTATGCCTTTTTTTTATTATTCTGACGACTGCAACTGTCAGAATACTAAAAAAAAAAACAGAAAAAAAAACCTGCAGATAGCAAAGAAGCTATTGCTTCCTGTGCTATCTGCCATCATTTCAGGGGGGGGGGCTCTCTCCCAGCCCCCCCTAACTCTCTCCGCGGATAGGAGGGGGGGGGGGCACCTCCCTGAAATGAGAGGGATACCTCCCTGAAATTGCTTCTTTCAGGTTGGGATCCCTGCTGTTTTGGATTTCACCCTACTCCCTACAGCATTTACTAGTGATTTACACACCCCTGCAACAATTAGAATCAGAATCCCAAAATAGTGATACCACTGTCCGGTACTGTGACTTACTGTGTCACCTGCCTGCTGATTAGGCTATATAAGAGCATCATTAATATACTGCCAAGGTCCTTCTTGTGCTCTACTTCTGTTGTAAGCTGTCTAAACTTCTCCTCCTTCATCTCCAAGTGCATGAAACATGCTAGAATGACAGCACTGTGCAATGTAATAAAGCCTTATTAGCTCATACTCTTGGCCTGAATACTGTGGTAAGCGAATACAAAGGCCAGCAGTATTTTAAGATAGATTTAATGACTTCCTTAAATTCTACTTTTATATTTTCCTAGAATTCCATGAGTACCTAAAAGTTAACCTGTGCTTTGTCAATGAAGAACAAAGCACCAGGTTCACTTAACTGCTGCCCAAGCAGATGTACAGTGTATGGCCAAAGTTCTGTGGGCAACTGACCATCACACCAATATATGGGCAAAAGTATGTGGCTACCACCTCCAAATTATTGAGTTTAGTTGTTTCCAGTGATGTGTCCTGGTAACGTTAAGCATACAAAGACATTTAGACAATTGCTTCCAACCTTATGGTAACAGTTTGGTGAAGGCCATTTTCTGTTCTAGAATGACTGTGCCCCTGTGTACAAAGCCAGCTCCATAAAGACATAGTTTGATGAGTTTGATGTGGAGGACCTTGGTGGTCTGTAGAGCCCTGACCTTAACTTTACTGAACACCTTTGGGATGAGTTGAAATGCCCATTGTAAGCCAGGTCTTTTAGTCCAACGACAGTACCTGATTTCAAAAACGCTCTTTGGGCTAAATCGGAATGAATTCCCACCGACACACTCCAAAATCTTGTGGAGAGACTTCCTAGAAGACTGTAGGCTGTTATGGCCACAAAGGGGAGCCAACTCCATGCTTTTGAAATGGGATGTCTAACACAGTGCTTCTTAACCTTTTCTGAGTCACAGGCAGCACACTTTAAAAGTATGCAAAATCTCGAGGCACCCCAATCTAAAATGTAAAAACTGGATATTTCAACATCATTGGGTGGTCCCTCTAAAATCCATACCAGACCATTAGCCCAGATAGGGCCCTACTATGGATCTGAAAGCGGGGACCCCATGCGTAAACACAAAATAATTGGGGTTACCCCTTTTACATTAGGAGCCTCCTTCACATCAGAGCCCCCCCTTTCACACCACAGTCCCCCATTACATCAGAAGCCCACCCTTCACATTAAGCCCCCCTTCACATCAGAGTTCCCTTCATTCACATCAGGAGCTCCCCTTCACGTAAGGATTCCTCTTCACATCAGAGGCATGGTGCTGTGTGAAAAGTAATTGTCTGGTGTTCATAAACCTTTGGCCGTCCTGTTGTTTCTTTGCCCCTCCTCTCCTCTTGTTCATTCTCGGAACACTTTCTATTCTGTTAACCATTCACAAAATACAAAGTGTTCCGTGAATGAACAAGAGGAGAGGAGGGGAGGACAGAATGGCTGGTGTGTAGTAGAGCCGCAAGTCTGCTGTCAAAGCGCGGTAGTATAGCGAAAGAACCCGATGGAAGTGTAAATTGTAAATAAGAGATAGTGATCCAGGAAGCGGCCCACACTATCTACCATGTAACTATTTGTAACTCAGCAGATTGGAACAAAAAAATAGTTTTTCCTAGAGTTCTCCTTTAGCCATTTAAATAAATGTTAGTGGTGCATTTTTTTCCCTCTTCTGCAGCTACCTGGATCATCCATGCCTGGAAACCATAACCCGAATTAAGTTTTATTATGTTTCCCTGGTTAAATACAGTAGAAGCCCTTACCTATACCCTCTCTATGGTCTGGGGGAGCTGCCGCAAGGATTTGCCAGGTGAGCACGGTTATTCCAAATTTGAGGACGTGTTGGAGAGAATGATATGAAACCCTGTACAGTATATCAGGAATATGTGATTTAGGATGACCAGACATATGAGAAATAGGGGTGAGACGGTTGATGTTGGAGTAACCCCTGTCAGTTATTTTTTTCGCTGTCAGGGAGATTTCCTTTCACTTCCTGTCCTAGAGAAACAACAGGAAGTGAAAGTAATTTCAACAAAGTAAGGGGAGACCCTATTTTTTGGCTCATTTAGGGCCCATTCACACCATGGCTGGACCAAATCCAGACCAGAACGTTTTTTTGTCTGGTTCAAAAACACATTCCCCATTCATTCCTACAGTAAAAACTGAGGCTAGTTCACACCACTGTGTTCATTTCTAGAGCGTTTCAAAAAAATACTGCACGCACTATTTTCTCTGGTCTAGAACATACCAAAATACATGTAAACACACCAGAACGCACTGGAACACACTATAAAGTCAAGGGAGACCTAAAAAAAAATGCACATGATCCCATTTGCAGAAATGCATCCAGATCTGGTCCAGACATGACTTGAATGGGCCCTAAATCACCTGTTAGGTGTCCATGTTGGAAGATGATGATGATGTGAGTATTGCTCATCAATGGAGCCACTGAGCATGCAGCAAGCAGTTGGGGTTGCCAGAAATGGCCCATTGATAGTGCCCGCATAATCCCTACCCATGTGCCAGGATGGTGGCAAGTGTTACCTGGCAATGAGTGCTGGCGAACATGAACAGCTCTTCATACACTTTGTAGGTTCTTACACGTGCAAGCCATTGTTCTTTTTCTGGCCACTGTTACATACAATAAGGCAAGATAAGATTTACTAAATGCAGATCCCAGACATTTCTTTATGGCCAAATTAAGAGTTCTAGTATCTAATTTTGTTACTATTTGGAGTTTTTAGAGTGAATATGAGGTCATCATAATGTAATGATGAAGGTAATTTGCCATTTCCTACATCTGTATAAATGTTGGTGGGGCTGTATTATTTATGTCACTCCGTCTGATGAAGGAACCTCTGGTGGTTCTGAAAGTTGCACTTTTTGTATGATGTGCTAAAAGAATATCGATAATGATGATTTGATTGCAGAAGATGGAGATGCACCAGCAACATATTCTTATCCAATTGCTGTGGCTTCATCCAACAATCGCTCCAGCACCCTGCATTTGAGGGTGAAGGCCGGTTTGGTGTCCAATGTAGATATCTATGACTCCATGTCCCTTCTATTCTTAATGACCACTCAGTATTGTGGATTTTTCCATCATGTGCAGTCCAACAGGAAAAATAAAAGGGGTGAATCTCCCCAATGAGGACCCAGACACAGAAGCGTCCCTTGCCTAGGCTGAGAACGCTGCCTATGATGCATTGAAATCCAAAGCAGTGTTGTTAGCCCTGCCCAGTGCTCCTTTACTGGAATACATTACTCCTATACTCCATATACCACGCCTTTACTCCATCCCTGTGTCCATCTCTACATGCATACATTGATTTCTTTCCCAGCAAAACAATGCTGCTGCCTTTACTCCCAAGAGCCTGCCCACACATTGTGTATAGGGAAATGGTTCTTGTGAGATGTAGTTCTGTGGGGGTGTCTAAGTCAATAGGATCTGATGTTCCCCTTGCAATAATTTTACATGTCTGAAGATGATACAACTGGGAATGATACAAGATTGTTCCTACTACAGGAACAAGGTTGAAAAATAACGCTGGAACATATTCTATAGGAGGAGAGGGAGTATTGGGTGGAACTTTGGGCCATGCCCATACAAATCATTTAATTTCTCACCTGTCTCATTTAGGCTGAGCGCTCTGTATGGAGGAATTTATATGCTCAACAAACCCGTAGATGAGATCTTGATGGAAAAGGGGAAAGTAGTGGGCGTGAGGTCTGAGGGAGAGGTAAGATGTGCTAACATGATTATAGGACTCTGACTTCCCTTTGTTTATTTTTCTGCTTGTAATTTTGTCAATGGAAAACAACTGAAGGTGGACTATTATAAGGGATGTACATAGGCTGCCATTGCTGATTTACTTCTGAAAATCGTATTTGCCAGTTGCATATGGAAGAAAAAAGATGTTTCCATTAGTTTCGGGAGGGATTCTTTAGAGTAGGTGTGAGTAAAGCAAACCTGTGCTTTGCTCGTCCAATCAGATTGCTCTCTGAGTCCCTACATGGGTCCATGGGGTCAGAGGCCCAAGTGCAACTTGTGCTCTTCTTTTTTAACCAGTTTTCATTCTACTTTTGCACTAAATAAATATATTGTGATGGATGTGGTGTCCTTAGTATCATGTCTATGTTGCTTTGTTATATTAGACATGGTGATCTTACTGTAGGTTTATTGGGCTTAGTGTAAAGGAGAACTTGTATCCTATTTTTAGGCTGAACCGGATTCTTGAGTGGGAACTAAAGGGGGACCCCATTAATATCTGTCACCATGGCCCCACGGTCTGTTATTTACACCTCTGGCGGAAGCCGTCAATGTTGTCTCTTGCCTTACAGATCGCTCACTGTAAACAGCTCATCTGTGACCCCAGTTATGTTCCCGATCAAGTGAAGAAGGTCGGTCAGGTGATCAGAGTCATCTGCATCCTCAGCCATCCAATCAGGAACACCAATGAGTGCACGTCTTGCCAAATCATCATCCCCCAGACGCAGGTCAACAGGAAATCAGGTTAGACACAACGCGCACCTTCTTTTTACATTTCCTCTTTTCTTAAAGCAAATTAAAACAGTAGCAAACGCTCAATATTTTTTTCAATAACGAATTCAGATCTCAGCAAAGTATTTCTTTGCATTTTTTGCTCAAACACTTACAGTCATCATGATTCCAAACAGCTCCAACTCTCTCTACTCAGCTTCTCTGAACAAAGATCAAAAGGGACATCACAATCTCTGCAACTCTCTATCTACTAGCTTGGAGGAGGGAGGAAGAAAGAGTGGGGAGCATAGAGGAGGGGAGCAGTTGTCTGTCTATTAGCTTGAAGGCAGTAGGAGGAAGGAGGAAGAAGAGAGAAGGGAGGAAGTTAAAGGAATGGCTTGTCTTGCTGTGCCTGTGTGTTTGTGGAGACACACAGCTTACTAGCACACACAAGGGTGGCTTAATAGAACCCTGCTCAGTGCTCAGGGGATCAGCTGATTCTGCAGGAAAATAAGACTTTTAAACATTAAGCCCTCATTCACACCTGAACGTTTTGTAGCGCGTTCTACGCTCGACGAACGCTCTACAAAACGCTCAAAAATATAAATCCCATTGTATTCAATGGTCTCGTTCCCACCTTGGCGTATTTCCGCCTGTCCCTAACGCGCTACAAAACGGCCCACGCCTGAAAAGGTACATGTACTACTTTGGGCCGTTTTGTTGCGCGTTTCCATTGGGATACAGCCAAGTAGCCTTCGGAAACGCGCGACGGTCGCGCAACTTTTTTACCGCGAATCGCGGTTAAAAAAAGACGCGCGACATACGCGCATATGCAATACGCCTAGGTGTGAACGAGACCTAAGTAGCAGCATCCATTGTAAGTGATTGAATTAGCAGGCAGTGATAGAGTAACTTGTGCAGAGGAGGATATGGCCTGTCACACCCGGAACGGATACCAACAACAGCTGTAGTTCTTGCACACAGCAAAGACTGTAGTTAGTATAACTGATTTTGTTTTATGGGTTGTGATATATGTACAGTTGTATATGAATCTCTGAGATTCCATGGGTCAGCTCTCTGGGCACCATGTCGGATACACATGAAAACTTTGTTTTGGGCAAATATTTTTACAAGGTAGGTCACCAGACTTATCCTCAACTCCCAGTTTACAGGGGCTTGGGATGGGCATGCAGAATGTGATGGCACATGTGGATAGCCAATTTGTTCACACTTACTAGGGCCAGTTTAGACAAAAGCTGATTAACCTAAAAATACGTCTTTGAAATGGGGGAAGAAACTCATGCAAACCAAGGGAGGTGAGGCAAACACCATGCAGATGTCTTGGCCAAGAGTCAAACCCAGAACCCCAGTACTGCAAGGCATACACACTAACCACTAAGCCACTGTGCCTTCCCTTTATAGGGTACTTGTGGCTTAATGCTTATCTCTGGGTACATTTTGTGCCCCACTTCTCCCTCCCTCTCACCCCCTCCTCCCAAATATTCACATTTTTTTTTTAACCAGAACCTTCACCAACACCTTTTTTCATCTTATCCACCGTCACATGCCCTTGCTGATGCCTCCACTGTGACGAGTGGAGACTGGTGGGGATCCAGCACTGCAATCCATGCTGACCAGTCCTATCATTATGACATTATCCTACCACTTTAGTCTCCTAGTGGAGGATTCTTCTACTAGACAGCCAATAGCCAGCAATGTTGGCTAGGGTTCCCTCAAAAATAAACTTCTTCTCTGCCTGATATACATTGCTTTACTTTACCTGCAAAGCACTGGTCTAAAATTAGAAAGCTTCTTCTTACCCCTACCCCCCTCTACCATAGGATACATATCCTCAATGGACAACTAACAATATGATTTGTTATATGAATTAATCTGGAAGGGTTGTCTGCAGAAACTGCGGCACGAAAGGTCCTCTGGAACCCTTCCTCTCTATTATTTATAGCAGGGGTGATTATAACTGCAATCTGTCATATATTTCTCCCCGCTCAGACATCTACGTGTGCATGGTTTCTTGTTCGCACTGTGTGGCATCAGACGGGAAGTATGTCGCTATAATTAGCACGACGGTAGAAACTGAGAATCCGGAGAGTGAGATCCAACCAGCGCTAGAACTCCTGATGCCTCTGCCAGGGCTTCCAGGCTCCAACCTGGCTTACAATATTGGGATAATGTGTAAATCACCTTACATGAAAATAATATTTATATACCAATAATTATACCAAGGAAAAGCAACCTCTTTGTCTCTGCACTGCTAAGATAGATCAGGCAATGCTTCTTACTGCACAGAGGGGGATCTTTGACTAGACCATCCTGAGATCTGACTCCTTCTAAGCCCTTCTATACTGGAACCTTCAAAGTTTAGTTTTCCTAACAGCCTCCCTAATGGGGCCCCCTTCCTACCCCAGTGTCACAATTGGGATCAGGCTTAGAGTCCCGTAGCTGAAACAGCAGGCAAATTTGTGGTATAACAGGCCGGGTTTGGTACACAAGCAGACGGTAGTAGTATAGGAGCAGGCAGAAGCGTAGTCCGTGAACAAGCTGAGGTCAGTAGCCAAAGGTATCAGGTATGAAGCAGAAGACAATGAGAGTAGTTAGTGAATCAGCAGCCAAAGGTCAGTACACGGGTAGCAGTATGAGAGGATTGTATTACAGAAGGAGCAGGAAGCAAGATATTGGCAGGAGCACAATAATCTGGGAAACAGGAAGTGCAGAGGCATGGCTTAAATAGGAAGTTCAAGGGAGGATCAAGGAGTTCAGAGTTCAGCAGAAACTAGGTTTACCTGAGGATTACACAGGAGATCAGGCAAGGAGCTATCCAAGGTTCCAAGGAGGCTCAGCAGGTAGAACCACCGCCAGCTACAGCAGAGGCCCCGGGTTCAGATCCAGTTCCTGACACCCAGGCCCCATAGCAACCGTGTTGGCTGCTATGGCTATTGTTACCCCACTGGGTGTCACAGTTGTCCACATTCCTGGAGAGGTCATTTTGGATTGGAGGGACATCTTCCCGGGCATCAGTATTTAAAAATGCCCTTTTAATTGCCTGAATTTGTGATCCATGTGCATTGTGTGTTTGTTTTTTATTTTCATTCAGGTTTGTCTCCATTAGTAACCAGTATGTCCCAAAGCATGACGGTACAAAGAACCAGGTGAGCGCTCTGAGTCAATGTATTTTCATCTAGATGGGCATATTCACAGAATCCTGATCATTATTTTACAATTTATAAACTTGATTCTTGCCACCATTGCTCAATCTGGAACGAGATCTCCCCTTAGGCAAAATCCAACACTCAGTTCTTCCAGGTGATGGTGGAGTTGTGCTTGCCTTCTGGATCTTTCAATGGACAGCAATAGAACCTGATAGGGGATCTAATCCTCCCCTACTATATCCAAAAGGACTAAAAAGGTTTACCTGGCTTTAGAACTAAGGAATGGGGGGCACTTGCTTAAACCTTGGGTTTAACCTTAAAAATATATTCAAGTACCTGAACTATTAACAGAAATGTATCTTATTTGTGTGTCACTCGGCTGTAGATCCTCAAATCATCTCTTTATTGGTGCTGACACGGTTCTTGCTTCTGGAGTGGTGGCTACTTTTGTTCCCCATGGTCCCTGTGTGTGTTGTAAAGTAGTCACCGCTCCAAGCTTTCTCCCGTGATGGACTACAATCTCATTACAAATTAGTAAACTAAGCATGAGATTGTAGTCCATCCCGGGAGAGAGCTTGGAGTGGTGGCTACTTTACAACACACACAGGGATCATGGACCATGGACCATCTTGTTGGAAAATGGTTGGGTTTGGAACGTTGGTCAAATCTTCTAATCGCTAGTTCTAATTAACATTAATTTTAAACCGCAGTGGCAAGGAAAATTGAAGGAGCAGGATGCCATTTTTTTTCTCAATTTTAATCTGAATGAACGAAACTTTACCCGGGAATGTGATTTTCATTGGGGAAAAAAATCGTACATAATGTAAAGTGCGTGTGCAAGGCACAAAATAAACCTATAAATACATCTGAGATTCAATTTATATAGCCTGTCTGGTGGAGATTTTGAAGGCCTTTCAAATTAAGGAATTGACCTAATGGTGCCAAGTTGGAATGCTCGGCTGACAGATCTCAAACAAAATTCTAACAGTGTATGGTTGGCTTAAAGGGGTATTAAGTTCTCCATTTTATTACATATATCTACTGCAAGCAAGCAGTAGATATACACTGAGTGGCCAGTTTATTATGACCACATGGCGTTTGTAGGCAAATTAGCTATAATTAGCTATCATTTCGCTCTGAAGTTGCTAGAGGGCCAGACCATTATAAATAGGGAAGCAGGTTGTTTACCACGACAGTAAAGGTGATTTTTTTTTGAAGATACGGGTAAACAACGCAATTTAACAGCCTTTGAATGTGGGATGATTGTTGGCGCTCGGAGCCATGGAGCGAGTATCAGCAAAACAGCAGAATTCGTTAAATGTTCAAGAGGGGCTCATTGTTAAAGTGTTTAAAGACTGGACTGTCAGACGCAAATCTGGGTCTGAACGTGCGAATTGTGGCCGTCAGCGACTAGTCAATGTTAGGGCAGAACAGGGGAGGGGCAAGACTGGTACAAGACAACAGAAGGGCAACAGTGCAGTGTCAGATTCCTTGCATCACCTTTCAACATCTCGTGGAGTCACCAGGCGGCCCAACAAAGTCATCCTGTGGAGTTATCTCATGGCCCAACGAAGTACTGATGGGGTGGTCATAATAGTCTGGCCACTCAGTGTATACCCCAAAGTTTAAAAAATGAAAAAGTGCCCAAAATGTAATAATTGAAATGTGTCTGCATCCAGGGCCGGCCTTAGGGGTGTGCGAGCAGTGCGGCCGCACAGGGCGCCATGGCAACAAGGGCGCTGTGCGGCCGACACTCGCACAGGGCGCCTAAAGGCCTAAGGCCGGCCCTGTCTGCATCGTTTGCTCCTGGCTGCAGAACACAGTTTCTTCAACGGCCATGCAGAAGCTAATGTGTGCGGGCGCATGCGCATTGGATACCACCGGAGGAAAGATGAGGAGGGACACAATGGAAGCGTATGCATGCAGCCAGGAGCGTGCATGATGGACGGACTCCGTGGGAAACAGGAAGACATAGGAGTCTGCGTTGGATCAGAGACCGCCACCGACACTGGAGGGACTGCTGAAAACTACCGGAAGAAAGAAGATTGTCAGATCAAGAGGAATCACATAAGGTAAGTCCCTACAGCAGCATGGGAGCGGGAGGGGGGGATTAGCTAACTGTTACTGTAAGTCTCACAACCTCTGTCCAGTCTACTTTGAGTAATACACTTGGGGTGGCTACTCTGAAGGCCTGAGCAGATTAGACATTGTGCTGAGCTCTCAGTCAGTAGCAATGTCATGCAAACGTCATAGCGCCGGCCTTGCCAGGGGGAGGCGATGGCGCACCTCGTCTAAGCGGGATATTAGGCATGCATGCTTTGCTGAGAGGCTCTGGCACACAGATTAACAAACTGCCTTGGCGTTCTGTCAGCCATGAAGAGACAACTTGTACTCGTGTATAGAGATTTTTTGGGTGTTTAGCCCTTGCTGCTTTCATTAAAAGGGCTAGTAGACTTATATTAAAGTCTCGTTTATGTGAAAGAGTATTTAAATGGCATTTGCGGGTATGAAACTCTTTATTTGCACATGAAAATCTTTTAGTAGCATTCAATTTAGATGAAATGACTCTGTGGCCGCTTACATAAATTAATAAAAAATATATAAAACAGTGTCTGTGAGAGTATCAATAGCAGGGGTGGGCAACTCCGGTCCTCCAGCTGTTGTGGAACTACAAGTCCCATGAGGCATTGTAGGTATGACTTACTCAGAGGCATGGTGGGATTTGTAGTTAAAGCACAGCTGGTGCTGCCCACCCCTGATCAATAGTTTCCTTTCCTGAAGGATCTTCAGCACCCAACACGCTACTGGGAGTATTAGATATCTGGTCCCCACTGACGTGCATTGTGGTTTCACCTTTAGGGCTATGTCACTACAGGTACAGGACCAAGCATGGATGTAGTGGGCAGGAGGTGGAACCATAGTAGTCGGCAGGGGGATGGGGTTGGAGGAGTGGCGCAAGACACACAGGCGGCTGGACAGGTAAGTCAGGAGTGAATGAACAATGCTAACCTCACTTTTATGATTGGTTTGGGTGACTTGTAAAATTTTTAGGGTGATCGGTCCTTTTTATCTGATTTTTGTTCTCTGGACATTAGCAGATATTTTTCAGACTTGTTTGCCTTGTAACGTTTCTCGAAAATGCAAAGAAGGATTTAAAAATGAATGGCCCCCGGTCTTCCTCTTAAGGTGTCTTAAAGTGGTCTCTCGTCATTATCCTATGTCACTTTAGCATACCTTAAAGAAGTTCTGTACTGTGGAAGCTGCACCCAAAAAGTCAGGCACAGGGCAAAGGACTAGTCACCAGTATTGCCTGTGGGCTCCCTGCAGCTGGTCTTTTCCCATTACTGACTTATCACACCATGTTTGTTCTGCTATGCTTTTCTTTGAGGAGGCAGCCATCTTGGTATAGGCTTCCTCTTCCTCATGTCAAAGCTGTCCACCTAATGATCTGATGACTGGTGAGGTAATGATAAGAAGCAGCAGGAGAGGTGGAGGAGGCACAAATCTATAGAATTAATGAAGCAGGGAGATCCTTGCACTGCAGGTGCTCAGGTACAGCTTCCTCTCCAGCAAGGAGAACAGTAACCAGCAGGAGTGGTGAAGGAGGCACAGATCTATAGAATGAATGAAGCAGGGAGATCCTTGCACTGCACGTCCTCAGGTACAGCTTCCCCTCCAGCAAGGGGAACAGTGAGCAGCAGGAGAGGTGGAGGAGACACAAATCCATAGAATGAAAACAGCATGAGCAGGGAGATCCTTGCACTGCAGGTCTTCAGCTACAGCTTCCCCTCCAGCAACGAGAACAGTAACCCGCAGGAGAGGTGGAGGAGGCACAGTTCTATAGAATGAATGAAACAGAAGCAGGGAGATCCTTGCACTGCAGGTCCTCAGGCACAGCTTCCCCTCCAGCAAGGAGAACAGTGAGCAGTAGGAGAGGTGGAGGAGGCATAGACCCATAGAATAAATAAAGTAGGAGCAGGGAGATCCTTGCACTGTAGGTCCCAAGATACAGCTGCCCCTCCCGCTAGGGGAACAGTGAGCAGCAGGAGAGGTGGAGAAGGCACAGATACATATAATTACCAAAGCAGGGAGATCCTTGCCCTGCAGGTTCTCGGATACAGCTTCCCCTCCAGCAAGGTGAACAATGAGCAGCACAGTAGTGACATCACCAGATCTCACTGCAAGTCTCATGGACATAAAGTTCTCTGTTATTTTTCAGGAGGGATTCATTACAAAATGTATTACATCTCCATCTATTCTTCACAAAGACATTTCACACTGATGACAACTGCTTTCTCTTTCCATAGATTTTTATCTCCCGTTCCTATGACGCAACCACACACTTTGAGACCACCTGTGACGACATTAAGGGCATCTTCCAAAGAATGACCGGTGCCCCTTTGGAATTCAAAGACATGTTGAGTGTAGACCCGGAGACCAACCCAGATGATTCGGACTGACCAGCTCTGTCGGACGGGATCATTTAATAAGGCGGTGCTATGATGTGCGACAGCCCCCCGGCAGCCAATCAGATTCTATTGTTCCACAATTTAGAGCAGTCAGAAAAGTGAGAGATGCCTGCCGATTGGTGGATAGGGGTTCCTGAGCTTAGCACAGTTTTTGCTGCCTTATTAAAGGCAGAGATCTCTTTTTTGTATAAAATAAAGGGCCAGTCAATTCAAAAGTGAGTTTTTAGCTATACATGTAGCTTGGTGGAACGAGTCAGCCCCTGGTTTCTTATATGTGTTGAATACTCCCAATAGCAAGATCTCCCTGTCATAATTCCCAGCTCTGTCCTGGGAGTTTTATGGTGCTCCCACTCGGCACCAACCTTGAACATTTCAGATGTTCACACCCACTCTCGGGTGTTCTCAACCAGTTGTACATTCTCCATTATATAAAATAAAAATCTAGAAGGGATGGTGTGAGCCCCTAATAATGGGCACAGCAGGTGTGCAAACCTGGGAGCTCAGTGTAGAGATGGTGGGAACTCCTCATAATGAGCACAACAGGTGTACAGACCCGGGAACTCAGTGTAGAGATAGTGGGAGCCCCTCATAATGGGCACAGCAGGTGTACAGACCCGGGAACTCAGAGTAGAGATGGTGGGAACCCCTCATAATGGGCACAGCAGGGGTGCAGACCTGAGAACTCAGTGTAGAGATGGTGGGAACTCCTCATAATGAGCACAACAGGTGTACAGACCCGGGAACTCAGTGTAGAGATAGTGGGAGCCCCTCATAATGGGCACAGCAGGTGTACAGACCCGGGAACTCAGAGTAGAGATGGTGGGAACCCCTCATAATGGGCACAGCAGGGGTGCAGACCCGGGAACTCAGTGTAGAGATAGTGGGAGCCCCTCATAATGGGCACAGCAGGTGTACAAACCCGGGAACTCATTGTAGAGATGGTGGGAACCCCTTATAATGGACACAACAGGTGTGCAGACCTGGGAACTCATTGTAGAGATGGTGGGAACCCCTTATAATGGACACAACAGGTGTGCAGACCTGGGAACTCATTGTAGAGATGGTGGGAACCCCTTATAATGGGAACATCAGGTGTATAGACCTGGGAACTCATTGTAGAGATGGTGGGAACCAGCAGGGGTGCAGACCCGGGAACTCAGTGTAGAGATAGTGGGAGCCCCTCATAATGGGCACAGCAGGTGTACAAACCCGGGAACTCATTGTAGAGATGGTGGGAACCCCTTATAATGGACACAACAGGTGTGCAGACCTGGGAACTCATTGTAGAGATGGTGGGAACCCCTTATAATGGGAACATCAGGTGTATAGACCTGGGAACTCATTGTAGAGATGGTGGGAACTCCTCATAATGGGCACAGCAGGTGTGGAGGTGTGAACCAGGGATATGAGGCTTTTGGGTAACTCTCCAGCAAGTACCAAACCCTGAAATATCGGTTTTGGATGGACTGAGCCCTTAACCTCTGCATATATTTCTCTCTGCCTTTATTTTATTCCGTCTTTTATGTGGATATTGTAAATGGTTTTCTTTTTTTGGCTCAGTATAACTTTTTTTTTTACATAAACGTCACCTATCCATGTTAATATTTCTTAGCGAAAAGTTCCCTTTTCTCCCCTCATTATTGTTCCAACAACATCCTCAATACTTCGAGTGCAAACAATAATGGAAATTATTCTCATCATTTACGATTATCACTTTGTTCGTTGTGAAAGCCAATAAAATAATGTTGTGACGTGTTATATATTATTGCATTCAATGATTGCTTGTCTCTTATCTGCTGTAAATCCGATGCCAGCGCCGCGCGCCGGGTGATAAATACTAGGGATGCACCAATATATTGGCTGCCGAAACTGGCACTTTTGGCTAAATGCCGAAAGTGCAATTTTCCTGCCGATACATCGGCGTATCCCTGCTTTCTTTCCTCCCCGCTGGGTGCTGCTCTGTGTCCCAGTGGGGAGGAGAGAAACTGTGACAGCCGGCCGAGCGCTGTGGGAGGAGAGCTCTGTATCTCCCCCCCACACCGCTCAGCCTCCTGTCACAGTCTGGCAGAGCGGTGTGTGGGCGGAGACAGCCCGCGCTGTCACAGGAGGCTGAGCTCTCCTCCCTACACCGCTCGCTCAGCCTCCTGTGACAGCATGTCAGGAAAGAGAGCGGGTAGAAGCAATCAGTGATCGCTGAGTGTTTGTACATAATTGAGGACAGAGTATGGTTACTATATCCCCAATTATGAATAGAAAAAAATTAAATTAAAAAAACATTTTCGGTTTTGGCCTGACATTTTTTTACATTTCGGTTTCGTTTCTGAAATTCCCATTTCGGTGCACCTCTAATAAATACAGAAGAACGTGCCAGGCAGACACTTCCCAGGATTGAAGGGTGCGCTTGAACTTCTGTATGGAATAAAAATTTCCTTGTATCAGTGTTATTAGTGTGTTTTAAAACAGATTTTCTTTTTCCTGCGATGGCGGGGTGGCTGGTAATCACAGTGCGGCCTGCTCCCCTGAGACACGAGGGGGATTTTTCGAGCATGTTTACAATATGCTATTTTGGGAATCGGTTCAACTGAGTTCAGTCAGTACAGGCCAGCACGTTTCTGTCCCTCGGGGACCTTCATCAAGCCGTTGGCTTTTGCTTTATTCTGGTGCTAGCTTTTCGAGCTAAAGAGAACCTGTCATGATGGCTGTTAGCTGTCAGGGCCAAGGAGATGATCAGCTTTGTAAATAAAGAGAACCTGTCATGATGGCTGTTGCTGTTAGCTCTCACGGCCAAGGCAATGACCAGCTTTGAATTAAAGAGAGCCAGTCATGATCAATGACCAGCTTTGAATTAAAGAGAGCCAGTCATGATGGCTGTTAGCTGTCAGGGTCAAGGCGATGAACAACTTTGGAATTAAAGAGAACCTGTGATGATGGCTGCTACCTGTCACGGCCAAGGCGATGGCAGGCTTTGGAATTAAAGAGTACAAGACCAGTCACCCTGCACAAGGAGAGAAAGCAGCAGTGAGCGGTCTTTATTACAGGAAGCACTTCCCGTTGATAAGCTATATTCATGGCAGCAGTGTAGAATCTTAAGAAAAGCAAGAAAAGAAAGAAATTGTCCACACTTTGGGAGATGTGCTCTAACTTCCTGTTGCAACTCTTGGACAGGAAGTTAAAAAAACAACTTTAAAAAAAAACCCTTCCATACCCCTTCTGTTTTGGCTATACATTCCCTTTATTATAAAAAAAAAAAGTAATGTTATAATACAAATATGCAGTTAGGCATTCTGACAAATAATGATTGATCCTGCCTGATTAATAATCTACCTTGTAAAATACTTCTGCACTATAGGTAGAAGGGGGACTGGCTCTTCTCTGGGTCCATGCACTCTGCTATAAAGCAAGCAGCACATTTTGGCCACTTTGTAATAACCAACTCGGTCAGCAGATCCCCAAAGTAGCCCAAAAGAGCCAAACCGCTGACCTCACAGCCTAACCTGGGTGACAGCCAATGTACAAAGCACGTGACCGCACCCGGACAGACCCCTCCTGCGGCTCCGCCTACTCCTAGCTGTCAGCGCGCAAGTCCCGCCCACCAGGGCTGTCAGCGGACAGACCCCGCCCACCTTCTCTGTCGCAGCTTCCCCACTCCTTTCCCAACCCCACCACCCAGCACAGGATCGGCGGAAGTGACGTCAGGGCAGAGAGAAGCACTTCCTGTTGTAGACATTCGGTAGAGAGAGGCTGGCGGAGGTGGAGCGGCTGAGGGGATTAGCGCCGCCTCCCCCGGGACTTTGTGGCTGAGCTGAGTGTCGGAGAGAGAGGAAGGTCCCGGCTAGGTGAGGCTGCTGGGCGCGGGTGGGGTTGAGGGGTATTCGGTGACATTTGTTGGAAGTGAACGGCTCTTTTTGTGAGGTGGGGATGCTGTGTGGGGGGGGGGGGGCATTCCTGAGGCGACTTTAGGGGGCATCCTGTCTGAGGGGGGGTTGCTGTGAAGTGACTGATATTGGGGGATTTTTTAGTGCTGGTGGGGTAATCTTCACAGGAGGGGCAGTTGTTCTGCCTGGTTGGAGGAATGTGGGGTAGTGGTGGTAATGAAGTATTGTGGAAGGGATGTGGGGCAATCCTGATTGTGGGGGAGGGGATGCTTCTAGATCTCTAGCAGGTCTCCATTGTTTATATCCTGACATTGGTGCAGTTTCTGTGTCACAATGACACTTTCTTTGGAGTAAACACAAAAATGGGCGCTGCAGGTCTGCATAGGTGCAACTGTCACATGCAGGTGGAGAGTTTTAAAGACAGAGGAGCTGTGTGTGCGTGGCCACGCCTCCTTGTCAGTGCATTGCTGCTGTCACCGGTTGTCATGTGCACAGATGGAGAACGCATCCTGCCGCGATGTTAAAGCTGAACCCCAGGCAGATATAAAGGACTCAAATTAACGCAGCTTTGTATTCATTAATACGCCGTTGAATGTATTTTTATTTCGATGCAAAGCACCTGAATGCGGCCTGATATCAAAACTATTGGTGGCCCTGTACAGAAGAACTCAGAGAGGGGGAGGTAGAAGCAGCACAAGGGAACTATCAGGTGCTGCTGCAGTGTAAGGAGCATGCTGATAGGAGAAGAGAGCGGAGTGACGGGTAGATGAACTCATGAGTCTGCTGCTTCTACTTCACTGTCTAGTCACAAGGTTGGTAGTTGTGGTGCTGGTGGGGGACTGCAACAGAACCACCCCCCTCCCAGTAGACAAGGCTGTGCTGTGTAAATCTAAGGCTTGGTGGGTTAAACATCCCCAGCACGTATTTTCAGCTTTAAAGGGTGAACCAGCGCATTACAGCCCCATAGACTTCTACGAGGCTGGGGCTGGACAGAAGGGTGATGCCCCAATAGAAGTCTGTGGGGTTGTAATGCCCACATTGGTCTAGGATGTAAACAAACACCAGAGGCTGCGGCTGATGGATCGAGGTGCGATA